CTTTCCGCATCTAACTCACTAACTTCTAACTATTAATATTATTGTTGAGCTAACAGGTCCTTCGAGATTAACTATTCCACTATATACATGTTCTAACCATTTTGTTAAAGTGTGTCTCAAAGTTTTTCTCTCAACAATAACTGATTTGGTACCACATAATCAAATTAAATCCAAAATAAAGAGATGCTTCTTGATTATACAACTACATAATAAAAGAAGACATTGTGAGGTGTTATTATGTCATCGAGTAATCCCACAACTTTTTGAATTGTTTTGAGCCAACTCTCAGAACCAAAAGACATGCAGATTGTAATTGGTTTTAAGCCAGAAAATTTACCGAACAGTTGGGTTGCAAACTGTACAAAAGCGGCAAAAAAGCTTATAGTTTCCTTTCCTTACTTTGTTGTTCTCAAGGAACAAGAAAATGAATTTGGTCATGATGAGGTAACATAAACATAGTTAAAACTTATTCTTGACTAACAACTCGAAAAGCAATATGTATTTGTTCAACCAATAAGGGAAAGCAAGGTTTTCAAAATCGAGATCTTACTTAAAATCGTTTTACGTTTTGCAAAATCGTGATCGCAAGATCGGATTGGGGTCGTAAGACCCTACCATAATGAACCCATATTCAAATTTTATTGCAAGATAATGTAATCACTTTTAACTTCTTAAGCATCACCCAAAATTTTTGTTGCTACAAACAATAAACATTAAGAATAAAACATCTTAATTAGAAATAACACCATTCTGATCATGCACTGGTAAGACATAAAATCAGAAAGGGATTATTATGGGTGTCATCTGCCTAACTCAAGATAAAATGATAAAATAGTGATACTCTAAAATACTTCTTGAAATTTGTGACGCTCGATTTCAAGTATGAATAGATGAATTTTTTATACTCGGATATATAATAAAACTAAAAAAGTGTGATCGAAATCGTTGTGTGATCGGGATCATTTTTCACTTGTAAGTTCTCAATACCATCAGATCGTAATATCAAAATCGAGATTTTAACAACCTTGATGGAAAGAACTAAGATCATCCACAATGAGTTTTAATAAGAGTTGAATAGATGATGACTAGGATTGAATGGAAATTGAATATTGGTGTAACATTCTGTTTGAAATTAAATTAATAATAAACTCTAAAAACCTTGAGGTGTAAAATTTATTATTATTTTATATATTATTGTAGCCAGAGGCAATAATATTTAGCGAGATGTTGGTTTCGGGTTGCCAAATGATATAAATTGGATTTTCGGGGGTGAAAATGTAATTTCCGGATTTTATTTGTAAAGAATTTTGATGGTTGAGGGCTGTTTTAGTATATTATAGGTTTAATATGAAAGGATTTTTGAAGACAGAGGCTGCATGGTAATTATTAGGACTTAGATTCAATAGATTTTGGAGGATAAGGGGTTAAATGGTAACTTATGGACTTATTTTGAGAAGATTACGAGTCGGAGGGACTGGAAGTGTCAATTTCGTAAGAAGTTGTATGGGACCATGGATTTAACTGATGCATTCTTCTCCCTCTCGTTACATGACCTAACCCTAACCCTAGAAACACATCTTCAACCGCCACCTTTGTGGAGACCCTCAGCCGACGCTAACGATTTTGGTTGACTCATAGCATCACCGAGCATCCACCGGAAGCCTTGTTGCCGACATTATTGAAGGTCGTCGAAAAACGGGAAGATGCCACCTCAGTTGGAGATCGGAGAAGCAAGGTCAAAGTCCTCATTATTGCCGTCGTGTGGCTCGCTATCACCGTCACTGCCTTGCGGCTGGTCCGCCCCGTCAAATGTTCTCCGACCGCCGCCTGTTGCCTCGAGGGTGGTTATGTTCAGTGCGTGTTCAGTGGATTCGTGGAGGTATGTGGGTACGTTTCAGTGTAGATTGATGGGTGTTAATGGCCGGAACACTAGCAGACCACCATGACAGCCAACCATGGTGGCTGCCGCCACTTCTATTTACTTCTGTTTTCTCTTACTGCCACCAGCCACTATGGGAGGTGGTTGTGTGCATGTGTGTGCGTGTGTATGTCTATTATATACGTTTCTTTTAGGTTGTGGTTGTAGTATGAACAGTATTTTGGTCGGGAAAGCAAATACCACCACTGTGAGCTGGTGGCTGCCATCTCTTTTGCCGCCACCAGCCACCGTGGGGGGTGGCTGTGTGCGTGATTTGGTGGGTGTGTGTGTGAGCATAAGTTGTGAGTTAATGTTGTATGGATTTCCTTGACCCGGAAAACAAAGAAAACTCATCACCACCACCTGCTGCCGCTGTTTCGCCACTGCTAGCCACCTTCTCCGGTGGCTATGGGCTTTCGGGTTTGTTTGGACTGATGGTTGGAGTGCTTTTGGTGTTGCTTTGGCCTAAGATCATAACCACCACCACCGCGAGGTGGTGGCTACCGCCGTGAACCATCGCCAACCACCACTACTCGAGGTGGTAGTGGGTGGTACTCGACTTGCTAGACTTTAATTAATGTAAAAACTTAACTATTGGATTAATTGGTTTTTGATTTGGTTGGAAACCCTAATTAGGGTTTAGAAAACCCTAATTTTGGGAATGTGAATTTTGGATTTGTCGGGACCCGCGTTTGGACCATTGGATTTGGAATTTTGAATTACGCCCGATTACTTTTATGTTTGGTCTAGTGGAGTAATGGACTGAATGGATTAGGTCCTTAATGGGTTAAGTAAGAACACTCAACCCTAATCGTCATTTTATGTGAAAAACCCTAATTGGGTTTGGGTTCTTGTTGGGCCATTTATTGAACTAAGTTGTTGTGGGCCTTCGAGGGCCAATTAGGAACATATTTATGGACTAAGGAAATTATTAGGCTTTAGGATAAGGCCCATTGGAAAGGCTTGGGCCAAATTTGGAAAATTGGGCCATAAGTGGGCCATAAATGAGCATTGATGGTTATGAGATATTGGGCCATCATAATGCCAAGTGTTTGGACTAAAATAAATGGTTGGGCCTTAAGATAAGCCCATGTTGAGGTTTGGGCCCAATTTGGAAAATTAGGCTATATGTTGGGCCTTAATTGATTATTTGGCTTTAGGCTTCAGAGTTTGATTTTGGGCCTTTATTTTGAACCAAACTAGGTTAGGGGTAAGAGAGTCTCTTTACCCCAAATATGGAGTTGTGGTTATGCGTTGGAACCCAATTATTAATTGGGTGTCGTTTTGATGATTGACAGCTCAGGAATTTGTCAACTAGCAGCTAGAGTTTTATCTGCGGGACTTCAGCTGTGCCAGGTGAGTCTCCTCACCATACCAATGGGTCTATGGCACCAAGGTCGGCCCATTCAGTTAGTTGTAGTGTTTATTGTAGATTCACTACTGATATGTCTTGTATGCATGCATATGTGGTATTCGAAGATTATGTGGTATGCTATTTGACTATGTGGTATGTGGTATGCTAGTTGTCTTTGTGATACTTGTATGGAAGACCATGAGGGAGTCCGTGGCGTTTGGATGTAAGACCATGTGGGGGAGCCCATGGCTTTTTAGGTAAAGACCATGGGGAGCCCATGAGACTTGGATGTAAGACCATATGGGCCCATGACTTTTCAGCTGAAGACCATGGGGGGAGCCCATGGCAATTGGATGTAAGACCATGTGGGGGAGTCTATGGCTTTTCAGCTAAACACAATGGGGGAGCTCATGACACTTAGGTGTATGACCATGTGGGGGAGCCCATGACATCCTGGAGTAAGACCCTGGGAGGATCCCATGACATCTTTATATGTTTATATGTATGGCTTATGTGATTGATATGCCTTATGTGATTGATATGGCTCACGTGATTGATATAACTTATGTGATTGATATGGTTTATGTAGCTTTTATAGCTAATATGGATTATGTGGTTATGTGGATTGTGTGAGGTATGCTCTGGGGAACTCACTAAATGCTTCGTGCTTATAGTTTTGTTTATTGTTTTAGGTATCATCGGTTTGGAAAGAAAGGACCCGGCTTGATCGCATCGCACACACCCATGTTTTCCGCAATGAATGGTTTTGGGATGAACTCTGATAAATGTTTTAATTAGTGATGTTTTGGAATGTTGGAATAAATGATATCTATGTTTTGGCTATATTAAAAATGAAATATTTACCCTTGATTTTTGAGTCGTTACAATTGGAGTGTGGGTGATAACATGAAGAAAAGTTGAGTAGGAGAGTAGTATGATCATTGAATGACTCGATTTAATCTTTCATTTGTCAATTAAATTTCAAACCAAATATAGTATTCCATTAAACTTTGTAGGATTTAACGGGTACCATTCAATCTTACCTACGAATTACCTATGAAAATAAAAAAGTGTCCATATTTTTTTAATTTAATCTTTTATTTGTCAATTAAATTTCAAACCAAATATAGAACTCTATTAAACTTTGTAGGATTTAATGGGTACCATACAATCTTACCTACGAATTACCTATGAAAATAAAAAAGTTCCCACATTTTTTAAATTTGGTACCTAATATGTAGTTAATTACCTACAAAATTCCTATGACATTTTAAACTCAATTAAAGAATTGGAGGGTTTTCAATTTTCTTTGCTATTCCGTAGATAAATTCCCACAGAATACCTATAGAGTACTAATTTGGAATAAAGTATTGATGTCCACATGGAATTCGTAGGTGATTACCCACGGATAACCTAGAGAGGTATCTTTGTCGCTATTCTGTTTGGAGGTAATTTACGACAATTTTTTTAATATCTTTTCTGTTGGTATTTTGAAGGTAATTGTCATCCTGTATGTAAGTTTTGTAGGTAAATGAAAATTTTCTAGTAGTGCTTTTATTTTTAAGTAATAGGAAATTTAAAACATGTAATACAAATTAAATATTTTGTACATAATTCGGATTAACCTTTAAACATCAAAACTAAATTATTTTGCATTCCCTCAATTTCAGCAAATTGAATGGTTGGATCCCCTTATGTTGCCCTTTCTTCTTCCCTACACTAAATATCTGAAAGGATTTAAAATGTAAATAATAACATACGATTAACAAAATACAAATTGTCCTTTATTAGGTTATTTACACCAAATTTACCACCATTACAAAGGTGTCATTATTTCACAACGATAACAAGTAAACAAAAAAAATAAATCTTATTCCAACACGATCTTCACTCAAAACTCTTGTTTAGAGATTAATATCCTTTGCCTTCTAACTTAAGAAGTGCAGCTTCTTCCATTTTAGGTGCTGTTCTTGTTCCTGTGTATTCGAAAGCTCCCTTTGATTTATCAGCAGCAAATGTTATAATAGTCGGGTAACTTTTTATCTTATATTGTACGTATAAATCCTGAGAAAAAATAATAGATTAGTAATAATACTATTTTAAATTAAAAAAAAAAGTTTAAAAAGTCAAGAATTAATACATAATTCTCTGCAACGTTCACTTCACCAAGCTTGATCTTTCCATCCACTAACTTTGAAAACGCCTCCCATTCAGGAAGAAACGCTTTCTGTGTTCCACACCTGAAAGAAAACATATATATATATATATATATATATATATATATATATATATATATATATATATATATATAATATATATATATATATATATATATATAATGTTTATAATTTGCATGTTATGAGAAAGTAAAAAAGAATAAGTATACGTAGAAAAAGAATTAATTACGTTGGTAGGCCGAACATGATAAACCAAACATCTTTGCTTTTCATAACCTTTTCATCAAAATTTTTTTGATTCAATTGTTCAGGAGCAGCATCAACGAGATTTAAGTTTGAGGTGAATGATAAAAAGAAGAAAGATATCAAGATCAACACATTTGCGGAGCGATTCATGCTTGCTGATGTAGAAATGGAAAACCAAAAAAGCCGTTGTTGTGTTTGATTGATAGGAGATACCTGTTTTAAATAGTAGAAATGCACGTAATTTGTGGAAACATGGACAGATTAGCGAATTATTTGCAGAGTCTATATTAGGAATTGATTTGGTCACATTAGGCCTACATTAATGGAATACCAATATAAGGAATGGATAGTCTACTTTTGAAATATGTATCGTAAAATTATTTTGACGGTAAATTTATATTTATATATTAAATAATCAAAACAAATGATGAAACACATATATTAATCTGAAATTTTTATTCATTAATTCTACTATATTAATATAAACCTTTTAATTTCTTATTAATCTTTTCTTTATATTATGAATAAGAAAGTGTATACATATTACGAGCCTATGTGCTTAGCTTATAAATAATGGTATTCAAATTTCAAAATATGGTTTAAGACGAATGTATTTTTAAAATTATTTTTAAACAACGGAATACCAACACTATAAGAAACGCAAACATTAGCCGCAACATGTGTCACCGTGAAAAGCTAGGTATGTCGCCGCTAGAGGCTTTTGTAGCGACGGGTTGCCGCCGTTAAAATGTCACCGCTGTTGTCTAGCTACAAATGCTCCATATGACGCTGCTAATGCTTGCTGTCACCGCTTATGCCCACAGTCACCGCAAAAGACATGTCGCCGCTAATACATACTCGTCGTTGCTAATTGTATTTTCCTTTTTTTATATTTAACATTAAAATTATAAAAAACAATATAACATTTATAAAAACTGCTACAAAACTTTATTTTGTAGAAAATTAGTTGGAAAAAATTAACCACACTTAATAATACATATACTACATATCCGATCCAAAATTATTAATCCATATACATCTGGTCCTGGTACTAATCTAAAATAATAACCCGAACAAAACATTTCATAAATCGTAAAAATATAGCTACTTGTCCCTAGGGATGAGATTTAGAACCGGAAAACCGGACCGGAACCGGAACCGTTAGAACCGGAATATATAGAACCGGTTCCGGTTTCGGGTTTAAAATTTGACTTTATCCGGGTTCCAGGTAATCCGGGTTTGGGTCCATCGGGTCCGAGTAAACCGGGTCTAAAAACCGGAACCGGTGTTTGGAACCGGAACCACTTTTAGGACCGGAACCGGTTTTTGTGAAACGTTTAAAAGATGCATATATCATTCGTTTCAAGTCCGATTTACATGCGGTTTTTTCCAACATGTAGTTTAGAGTTTGTACATGATTTTAGACTATAAATTTGACATTTTTAGTTTTATATTCATTGACTTACAGTCCTCCAAAATCGAGATATCAAGCTGGAAGTTTTTAGTTTTTCAGTTTTTTGTATTCGGTGAAAGTTTTAAAATATGCATATCTAATTTGTTTGAAGTCAGATTGACATGTGGCTTTTTTTGCAACTTGTAGTTTACAGTTTGTACATGAGTTTAGACTATAATTTTGTCATTTTTGATTTAACGTTCAATGATTTACAGTCCTCCGAAGTCGGGATATCAAAACTAAAAATTTTTAACTTTTCACCTATTTGTTTTTGTAATTTGTATTATGTGAAAATGTTAACACATGCATATCTCATTCATTTAAAGTCGGATTGACATGTGGTTTTTTTCAGAGTGTATTTTAGAGTTTGTACATGATTTTAGACTATATTTTTCTTAATTTTGGTTTCATATTCAATGAGTTACGATCCCCCAAAGTCGGTATATCAATTTGAAAATTTTCAAAGTTCAACCCATTAAGTAGTAAGTAATTATCAAAAAATTCCGTTTTTTTTTCCGGTTCTAAACCCACTTTATCCGGTTCTAACCTACCCACTTTGATGTTTCCGGGTTTTCCGGTTCTAGACCCACTTTACCCGGAACCGTACCCGAAACCGAACTGGAACCGGTTCCTATAAACCGGTCCGGTTTCCGGTTCTATAAAATCCCGTTAACCGGTTCCAGGTTTTCCGAGTCCGGGTCCATCCGGTCCGGGTTTGGACCCACTTTCATCCCTACTCGTCCCCATCACTCCCCTCATTTCCTTTGTTTTCATTTCGTGATGGCAACGATCGAAACCTGTCTTCTAGTTCCGCACTGCAGGTTGGGTCTTTTAGAATTGTTTGCAACATTTCCAACTACAAAGTTACCAACATATCATAACAGCATTGTACTTTCCAAAAATAACCAAAATACAAAATATCAACATATCAAACTATAACCAAACTACATCCTATATAATTTACATATACATTATAACATTGTACTTTTTTTCATTTTTCCATCATGGCATTTTACTATACTAAACTAACAATTTCCAACATATCATTATAGCATTCTACTATCTAAATACAATTAAACATACAACCGACACAATATTACATATACATTATAGCATTGTACTTTTTCATTTTTCCATTATAGCATTGTACTTTCCAAAAATTACCAAACTACCAAAAACCAACATATCAAGCTATAACCAAACTATATCATACACAATATTGCATTTACACTATACCATTGTACTTTTTTTCATTTTCCCATTATAGCTTTGTACATTCCAAAAATTACCAAACTACAAAGTACAAATATATCAAATTATAACCAAACTACTGTTGGATTAGGTGTCTAAGCCCATAACTATAATTGGTATAAACTTGAATTAATATTAGCATAATCCTTTTGGATTGCCCTCAAAGCTAGCAATTGGACATGATTATTTTGGAGAGATATATGATTTATTATTTGATTAACAAATTGAAATATATAATTTGTTAATATATTATGAGAATAATATATTAATTAGAAATTATGATATTTAATTAATAGTTTATCAGAAATTAACTAGAATTAATTTGGTTAATTTACAGTGTAGGGGTTGTTTAGCTATTATTGATAGTTGTGGAAAAAGGCTCTAGAACCTCCTTGTAATAGGTTAGACAAAAACTTCTAGGAAGGGCCTAGAATTTCTGTCCAAAGGCTCTTAGATGGAGGCTCATGAGTTGCTTGGTCACCAAGCAAAAGGATTAGGGTTTCCTCCTTAAACCCTAGCTTTGGCTCTAAGCTACCTCACCTATATAAAGGCCCTTGATGCTCACAAAACTGGTACCTCCTATCCTAGAAGAGTTCTGGCCGAAGAATCCCTCTCTCCTCTCCATAATTCTTCTTTGCTAGTCTTGGGTGTGAACCATCATAGGCACTACATTTGTGGTGCTAGCTGCCAAAGGTTTTGAAGAAGAAGGATTCAAGATTGTTTACAACAACAATCTTAAATGTTAGTTTTTCTTGTCTTATGAACTAGTTTGTTCATAGGAAAGTTTTGTAGGTTAGTGTTTATAGTATGTTGCTAATATGTGAAAGCTATAGATCAAACTAGGTTGCATGTGCCCTAATCAATTGAATTGTTTGATTGTTTTTCCGCTTAAGGCATTGTAGTTGTAACCTCGATTTCCCACCAGTGGTATTAGAGCATAGGGCTTTCATTCATGTATTTTCACATTGGTGAATCGAAAAAGAAATCTGGTTTTGGTTTAGTCGTAGCTCACGACGTGAGCATATGAGGTTCACGACATGAGCTCGATTAGATCCGAAAATCTTGACCTAATCTGCCTTAACAACTTTTATGTGATAAATACTTGCTATATTTCATCCCCAAATCCTATTTTGGTGTATCTATGATGATAAAATAAAAGCCTAAAAGTTAGGAGATTATTATTTGACTTGATCAATTATTTTGTGATTAATATGATTAATTTTTAAATGTTTAAATAATTAATTTGGATAATAATGGAACTTAATAATCAAGGTCAAATAATATTTGATTTATCTTAAATTTAAATTATTTTAATTTTGAAATTTATTATAAAAATGTAGTATTTTGAAAATTTTAAAATACACCCTTATATTTTATATATATATATATATATATATATATATATATATATATATATATATATATATATATATATATCATTAAAAGCCTAATATTATATGTGTATAAGACTAAGTCAGTCGAACCGCTAGTGCGCCTCATTCACGAAGCCGTACTATAAGTGGAGTTTAAGGAAGCGGCCTATAAAATGGCCGTCATTGGATATCCACTCTTACCCACCTCTCCCTTGTATGGTGGAGGGTCGTTAGCCAAACGAGTTTGATAGGAAAATTAATTCTCATTAGTAAGTATAATGAATTAAAAAAGTAACTAAACATTTTATTAAAATTCTTAATCTTAGTTACTTTAGGAAAAATGTGAATTTGTATGCAAACCCATGAAATTGCACATTGCACTTTATAAGTCGTTAGTGGAGCGTGTGTGGTTAACCGACATACTAATAGGGACTAATAAAGAGTCGTAATGGGTGTCTCAAAAATTATCATTGATTAATGGAGTGTGTGTGGTTAACAGACAAATTAAAATGAGATGATAAATGACATCGAGAACACCAAGCTAATTTGCATGGTTATTCGCATCCTGTTTGTGATCCTCGGTATCCCAGTCATAAATAGAAGAGCATAATCGAGATTAAACATGTCATTGAGGGGTTTCAATGAATCTCAAAAGATCTAGGAATTTCATTAAAAAAAATCTAATTTTTTCAAATTTCATTTTCTTGTGGTGAAATTGGTAAATCGTCATTTACCTACCTTTATATAATTTACAATTAGATTACGGCATCCATTTTCTAAGTTGTGAATTATTTAGTTGGATCCTAGCCTTGATATTTTGTTTTGGGTGTTATATTGAGGATTATTCTTGTCTAACTAAAAACTATATTTCTTTTATAGATGTCTATTCCAACTGATGCTTATGGTTCCTCATCCTCCTCCTCCTCCTCCAACAACTTCTCATTGTTGAACATCTGCTCCAAGGTGCAATTAGATTGCACCAACTACAACGATTGGATGCGCAACATAAAAATGGCCCTTCGCTTCGAGGACAAGGAGTATGTCCTTGAGAGACCATTGGATGAGATCGACGAAGAAAAGGCCACTCCTGAAGAAATGATTGCCTACAAGAAACACTA